TGAAGCGAGTTATGATCATTTCAAGTTTTGGAAAATTATGGCCTAGTTTTGGATTTCTAGGCCACCAAACTAGAAATGGCTATAACTCGCTTCAAAATCAATATTTTCGAAGTCTGAAAACTGATTTGAAATAGTCAAATTGTGCTCTTCAAGACCATATTCACCATGGCCTAGTTTTTCTTGCAGATTTGGGTTTCTAGGCCATCATTTTAAAATGGTCATAAATGACTTTGAAATCTAGATTTTCGAGATCCGCAAATTGATTTAAAACTCTTAAATCGTGCTTTTTATAAAATTAATTTCCAGATTTCGAAAATCTCAATTTTGAAGCAATTTATGACCATTTCAAGATGATGGCCTAGAATTCCAAAATTTTAAAAATCTAGGCAATGGTGTATATGGTTTCAAAGACCTCGATTTGAGAGTTCCATTACAGTTTTCAGATTTCAAAAATATCGATTTTGAAGCGAGTTATGATCATTTCAAGTTTCCGGAAAATTCTGGCCTAGTTTCGGATTTCTAGGCCATCAAACTAAAAATGGGTGCAACTCGCTTCAAAATTAATATTTTCGAAGTCTGAAAACTGATTTGGAACTGTCTAATCCTGCTCTTTAAAACCAAGTACATCATGGCCCAGGTTTCTCTGATTTTGGATTTCTAGGCCACCAAAATCAAAAGTTAGGAATATGGCTCGAAATCGTCCATTTTCCGGTCAAAAATGGCTCATTTTGAAGCTAGAAACCTCTGTTTCATCCCGAAAATCACCCAAAAAAAGGGGACCAACCTATACTGATCCTTGTGTTGCAAATCCCTCTTCCTCTCCGTTGATAGTACATGTTCTTCGTGCGATATTCTCTGATTTTTCTCCTGTAGCACAGACGCCGGTGGTACCATTGATCCGCTGCCGCCACCCGGCGATTTCCGTTTGGCTTGTGATTTTACAGTATCCGCCAGCTCGACGAGATAATCAATGCATTCCTTATCAGCTACGCCCAGTACGTCGATACCCTGCAAAAATTTGATCGTGGTCTAGAAAATCCAAAAGGCTAGGTCATGGCCTAGAAATCAAGAAAAATTAGGTCATGGCCTAGAAATCTAAAAATGGCCTCGAAATCCAAAAAAACAGGTCATGACCTAGAAATCCGCTGATGGCCTAGAAATTTAAAATTGACCTAGAAAATCCAAAAAACTAGGTCATGGCCTAGAATTCCAAATTTGGCCTAGAAATCCAAATGTGGCCTAGAAAACCAAATATGGCCTATGAATCCAGAAAAACTAGGCCATGACCTAGAAATCCACTGATGGCCTAGAAATCCAATTTTGGCTCATTTTCAGCCGATGTTTTCGAATTTTAGCTCATTTTCAGCGGATTTTCAGCCATTTTCAGTAAAAACCCCAACCGTAAACGTGAGATCCGACAGCTCGGCCCCATTTTCCAGCAATATTTTACAAGCGTCTCGTTCGGCCCAATGTGACGCTGCATGCAGTGGGGTCCATCCCTCTTTGTCCTGGGCTCGAACGTTTCCACCGGCTTTGATGAGCAATTCGAGTAGTTGGGTGTAGCCACGACCGGCGGCGACGTGCATTGCGGTTCCGCCTGGAATTAGGTGTCAAAAATCGATAAAAAATCATTAGAATTGATCCGAAAATCATGAAAAATGAGTCAAAAATCATGAAAACTTGATTTTCTGAGCATTTTCAGATCGATGTTTCAGAATTTCTGGAGCAGTTTTCTATAATTTTCCAGTCGAAAGTGTAAAAAATCGACTCAAAAATGCATATTCTTTATGATTTTTCAGATCAATTTTCATGATTTTTGGGTAATTTTGGACCTATTTTCATGATTTTTGAGTCATTTTTAATGATTTTTTGGGTCATTTTTCATCATTTTTGGTCCATTTTTTTTGATTTTTGAATCAAAATTCATGATTTTTGGATCATTTTTCATGATTTTTGGTCCATTTTTTTTGATTTTTGAATCAAAATTCATGATTTTTGGACTCATTTTTCATGATTTTTGGACCATTTTTCATGATTTTCGTGTCGATTTTCATGAATTTTGGCTCGATTTCTATGATTTTTGGTTCAATTTTTCGCGATTTTTAGCCATTTTTCCGCCACAAACCTGTTCTGTGATGTGGCACATCTCTGTATTCCCCCTGACTAATCCACATCTTCACATCCTTCAACATCGTCGCCAGCTCCTGCTCTCGACACGCCTCCAAATCGATCATTTGTCGTTTGTAGTCGTCTTCCAGGTACTCTCGACATTGCTCATCCACTGCCAAATCCAGCGCTAGCTCCTTATCACTGTTAACCACTGATAAGTCGGCGCCATGCTGACACAGATATCGAACGATGGAGACGTTTCCACAGCAGGCGGCCGCGTGGAGGGGCGTCCATCCTTCGTTGTCCTGAGCGTTCACGTCGGCTCCCTTCTCGCACAGGAATCGGACCATTTCCGGTTTGGAATCGATCACGGACTGCAAATTGTAAGCTATACAGTAGTCCGAGAAACGACAGCTACAGTACTTTTTATTGGAATTCCTTAGACCAAAATTGTGGTTGAAATTAGGCTAAAAATACCCGGAAATCGTGCGGTTTGGACAAACTTAAAAACTCAAAAAATGGCAAAATTTGATCATTTTTGATTCTCTGAATTTTGCTGGTTTTTGGCTTACTGTAGTCATTTTTTTCAGGATTTTTTATTTTCTAGCAATTTTCGGACTTTCCGGAAATTTGGAATTTTTCATAGTTTTTTTTTGGGTTACTGTAGTTGCTAGAAAACCCAAAAATTCCAGAAAATTCTCAAAATTTGAAAAATCTCAAAATTTGAAAAATCTCAAAATTTGAAAATTCTCAAAATTTGAAAAATCTCAAAATTTGAAAAATCTCAAAATTTGAAAATTCTCAAAATTTGAAAAATCTCAAAATTTGAAAAATCTCAAAGTTTGAAAAATCTCAAAATTTGAAAAATCTCAAAATTTGAAAAATCTCAAAATTTGAAAAATCTCAAAATTTGAAAATTCTCAAAATTTGAAAATTCTCAAAATTTGAAAAATCTCAAAATTTGAAAAATCTCAAAATTTGAAAAATCTCAAAATTTGAAAATTCTCAAAATTTGAAAAATCTCAAAATTTGAAAAATCTCAAAATTTGAAAATTCTCAAAATTTGAAAAATCTCAAAATTTGAAAAATCTCAAAATTTGAAAAATCTGCAAAGTTTGAAAATTCTCAAAATTTGAAAAATCTCAAAATTTGAAAAATCTCAAAATTTGAAAATTCTCAAAATTTGAAAAATCTCAAAATTTGAAAAATCTCAAAATTTGAAAAATCTCAAAATTTGAAAAATCTCAAAATTTGAAAATTCTCAAAATTTGAAAAATCTCAAAATTTGAAAAATCTCAAAATTTGAAAAATCTCAAAATTTGAAAAATCTCAAAATTTGAAAAATCTCAAAATTTGAAAAATCTCAAAATTTGAAAAATCTCAAAATTTGAAAAATCTCAAAATTTGAAAATTCTCAAAATTTGAAAAATCTCAAAATTTGAAAAATCTCAAAATTTGAAAAATCTCAAAATTTGAAAAATCTCAAAATTTGAAAAATCTCAAAATTTGAAAATTCTCAAAATTTGAAAATTCTCAAAATTTGAAAATTCTCAAAATTTGAAAATTCTCAAAATTCGAAAAAACATGTATTCATGGGTATTACTGTAGCTTTTAGAAAACGCTGATTTTTTTCAGAATTTTTCAGGCTAATTTTTAGTCTAATTTCAGCAAGAATCCTCAACTACAGTAATCCCTTCATTAAGCCCCTTTTCTACAGTAATCTTCTAATGACTACAGTAACCCTTAAAATTTCAGAAAAAAAATTTTCAAGAAATTCGAATTTTTGCTGAAAAAATTTAGAATTTTCAGAATTTTAAATTTTGCTAATTTTCAAAACTTTCTAAATTTCCGAATTTTTCAAAATTTCCAACCCCAAATGCTCACCTGATGAAGTGCTGTGAGCCCGTCTACTGTACACGTATTGATGTCGGCTCCTTTGAGCAACAACTCCTCAACCTCCTCCTCGTCGCCAGACATACACGCCGACAGGAATATGTCGCTATCCTGGAATTGTACTTTCGGCCGCTTCATGCGGCGAGCCGGCTCCGCGTTCATCTCGCTGCTCTGCCAACGACGAAGTTGATCCTGAAGATAGAGAGAGAATTAAGGATGAGCAATCGGTTGGGAAAATTGGAAAAATCTGGAGAAATTCGAAATTATAGATCAATTTTAGAGTTTTCGAGCCGATTTGAAAAACGGGGGGATTTTTTGAAATTTTTGAAAATTTCAAAAATTTTTGGATTCTTAGGGTTTTTAGGCTTACAGAATCTCAGAAATTCAGAATCACAAAACCTCAGAATTACAGAATTTCGGAATTACAGAATCTCTGAATCTCAGAATCTCAGAATTTCAGAATCTCAGAATTTCAGAAATTCAGAAATTCAGAATCTCAGAACCTCAGAATCTCAGAATTTCAGAAATTTAGAATCTCAGAATTTCTGAATTTTAGAATCTCAGAATCTCAGAACTCCAGAATTTCAGAATCGCAGAATTCCAGAATTTCAGAATTCCAGAATCTCAGAACCTCAGAATCTCAGAATTTCAGAATATTAGAATCTCAGAATCTCAGAAATTCAGAATCTCAGAATCTCAGAATCTCAGAACATCAGATTCTCAGAATCTCAGAATTTCAGAAATTTAGAATCTCAGGATTTCTGAATTTCAGAATTTCAGAATTTTAGAATCTCAAAGTCTCAGAATCTCAGAATCTCAAAGTCTCAGAAATTCAGAATTTCTGAATTTCAGAATTTCAGAATTTCAGAATTTTAGAATTTCAGAATTTCTGAATTCCTGAATTTCAGAATTTTAGAATCTCAGAATCTTAGAATCTCAGAATCTCAAAGTCTCAAAATTTCAGAATCTCAGAATCTCAGAAATTCAGAATTTCAGAATTTTGGAATTGCAGACTTTCTTTTTTGTGAATTTTGGATCTTGAGAATTTCAGACTTTCCGATTTTCAGATTTATCAATTTTCGAAATTTCAGAACTCCGGAATCTTAGATTTTTATTTGGGGTTTTTTTTTAATTTTCAGATTTTCCAAATTTTTAGAAAATCTAAAAACTTAAAATTGGATCATTTTTAGCCAAAATTGAGATTTCCATTGTCAGAATACCGATTTTTTTCGAAATTCTGCGATTCAGAAAATCCAAAAAAAAAGGATCAAAATTTTAAAAAATTCAGAAAATCGAAAATTTCGGAATTTCGGATTTTTCGGAAGTTTTCAGAATTTCCAAAATCAAAAATTTACGATTTTTGGCTTAAATTAATTAATTTTCTGGGAATTTTGTAAACTGTAAATTCTACTAGGAACAAAAGAAAGAAAAAGAAAAAAAACCAAAAATCTCAAAAATCATTGTTTGCCGCCACCACCTCCCAAGCCAAAGCGTAATTCTTTTTATCTATTTGCACATCTGATTAACACAAATCAAACGATTTTGGATTCCTGGCGGGCCAAGGATGAAACCTGTATTAGAAGGGCCCCCTTCAAAATGTGAAAAAAAAACAATTTTTAAAAATCTTCAAATTTCGATTTTTGGGGATTTTAGGAAAAAACCCTCCATTTCAAAAAATCTGAAAATTTCGAAAATTCGAATTTCAAATTTTTTGCAAAAAATCACCATTTTTGGAGCCTTTTTGAGTTTTTAAAACAAAAAAAAGCGAAATTTTAAATTTTTGCTGCAATTTCTGAAAAAGAAACAAAATTTCAAATTTTCCGAAAATAGGAAATTTTGAAAAATCTTGAAATTGTCAGAATTTCGATTTTTTGAATAATAAACTTTTTTTTCTAAAAATGTATGAAATTCTCCAAATTTCATTCATTTTTTGAAACATTTCAAGCCAAAATTCATCTCAATTTGGACCAATTTTCCATTGAAACTGCCTCAAAATTTGTCTGAAATTTGTTAAATTTCAGGCATCAGGAGTTCAGAAATTCAGAAATTCAGAAATTGAGAAATTGAGAAATTCAGAAATTCCAAAATTCAGAAATTCAGAAATTCAGAAATTCAGAAATTCAAAAATTCCAAAATTCAGAAATTTAGTAATTTAGAAATTCAGAAATTCAGTAATTTAGAAATTCAAAAATTCAAAAATTCAGAAGTTCAGAAATTCAGAAATCCAGAAATTCAGAAATTCAGAAATTCCAAAATTCAGAAATTCAGAAATTCCAAAATTCAGAAATTCAGAAGTTCATAAATTCAGAAATTCAGAAATTCAGAAATTTAGAAATTCAAAAATTCAGAAATTCAGTAATTTAGAAATTCAGAAATTCCAAAATTTAGAAATTCAGAAATTCAAAAATTCAGAAGTTCAGAAATTCAGAAATCCAGAAATTCAGAAATTCAGAAATTTAGAAATTCAGAAATTCAGAAATCCAGAAATTCAGAAATTCGGAAATTCAGAAATTCAGAAGTTCAGAAATTCAGAAATTCAGAAATTCATAAATTCAGAAATTCAGAAATTCAGAAATTCAGAAATTCAGAAATTCAGAAATTCAGAAATTCAGTATTTAGAAATTCAGAAATTCAGAAATCCAGAAATTCAGAAATTCAGAAATTCAGAAATTTAGAAATTCAGAAATTCAGAAATCCAGAAATTCAGAAATTCGGAAATTCAGAAATTCAGAAGTTCAGAAATTCAGAAATTCAGAAATTCAGCAATTCAGATTTTTAGAAATTCAGAAATTCAGAAATTTAGAAATTCAGAAGTTCAGAAATTCAGAAATCCAGAAATTCAGAAATTCAGAAATCCAGAAATTCAGAAATTCAGAAATTTAGAAATTCAGAAATCCAGAAATTCAGCAATCCAGAAATTCAGAAATTAAGAAATTCGGAAATTCAGAATTTCAGAAGTTCAGAAATTCAGAAATTCAGAAATTCAGCAATTCGGAAATTTAGAAATTCAGAAATTTAGAAATTCAGAAATCCAGAAATTCAGAAATTCAGAAATCCAGAAATTCAGAAATTCAGAAATTCAGAAATCCAGAAATTCAGAATTTCAGAAGTTCAGAAATTCAGAAATTCAGAAATTCAGCAATTCAGATTTTTAGAAATTCAGAAATTCGGAAATTCAGAAATTCAGAAATTCAGAAATCCAGAAATTCAGAAATTCAGAAATTCAGAAATTCGGAAATTCAGAATTTCAGAAGTTCAGAAATTCAGAAATTCAGAAATTCAGCAATTCAGATTTTTAGAAATTCAGAAATTCGGAAATTCAGAAATTCAGAAATTCAGAAATCCAGAAGTTCAGAAATTCAGAAATTCAGAAATTCAGCAATTCAGAAATCTTAGAAATTCAGAAATTTAGAAATTCAGAAATCCCGAAATTCAGAAATTCAGAAATCCAGAAATTCAGAAATTCAGAAATTCAGAAATTCGGAAATTCAGAATTTCAGAAGTTCAGAAATTCAGAAATTCAGAAATTCAGCAATTCAGATTTT